TTTCAAAAATTTGAGAGGCAGAGAAAGCTCCCATTCACTGGTTTATTCCCCCGATATCTACCAACAGCCGAGGTTGGGTCAGACCTAGGTTGGGAACCACGGACATAATCTGGATTTCCCACAGAGGTGGCAGGGGCCCGAGCACTTGGACCATTTTCCACTACCTTCCCAGGTGCATTAGCAGGGACCCACATCAGACGCACAAAGTAGCTGGGACCCCAGCCGGCTCTCTGGGAAGAGATGGGGCCGTCACAAGAGCTGGCTATACATGCTGCACCACAATGCCTGCCCCAGAAGTTCTTTCCTTAAAGTTTTTTTTTGTTTTGTTTTTGTTTTTTTTACAGGCAGAGTTAGACAGTGGGGGGGGGGGCAGAGAGAAAGATCTTCCTTTTTTTCGTTGGTTCACCCCCCAAATGGCCGCTACAGTCAGCACGCTGTGCCGATCCGAAGCCAGGAGCCAGGTACTTCTCCTGGTCTCCCATGTGGGTGCAGGGCCCAAGCACCTGGGCCATCCTCCACTGCCTTCCCGGGCCACAGCAGAGAGCTGGCCTGGAAGAGGAGCAACCGGGACAGAATTCGGCGCCCCAACTGGGACTAGAACCCGGGATGCTAGCGCCGCAGGCGGAGGATTAGCCTAGTGAGCTGCGGTGCCGCCAAAGGTGTTTTTTTGTTGTTGTTGTTGTTGTTGTTTTTTTTTTTTTTTTAATAGTAGGTGCACCTGCTTTCAGAGAGCATTCTCTGGCTGTCAGCAGTGTTTTTGTGTCAGAATATTGCACACGGATTGAGTGCGAAATCCAGGACACCGTATTCTGGGACCATTCCCTTTATCTGAAGAAACTGTCCCCCGCTCCAAGGCATGGGCTGGCCCTTGGAGAAGGCACACAGCCCTCTCCTGTTTGTCCATTCGTTCATCCTGTCTACCCCCTGGACCAGGCCTCCAGGTCACTGCAGCCAGGAAAGCTGTGCTGTGCCCTGAGTGTGTGGTACCTGCAGCTCCCAAGGGCAACCTGCACCCTCTGCTCCCACTGGCCCTGTACCACCTGCATCCCCCAAAGTGCCAGGGGATCCCCAGCTTGCCATCAGCCTCAACTGTGCTTCACATGTTTAAGAAAATAAGAATCAAGCTAGGGGGCCGGTGCTGTGGCGTAGTGGGTAAAGCCACCGCCTGCAGTGCCAGCATCCCATATGGGCGCTGGTTCAGGATTCGGCTGCTCCACTTCTGATCCAGCTCTCTGCTATGGCCTGGGGAAGCAGTGGAAGATGACCCAAGTCTTGGGCCCCGGCACCCATGTGGGAGACCCGGAGGAAGCTCCTAGCTCCTAGCTTCAGATCAGTGTCGCTCCGGCCATTACAGTCATCTGGGGAGTGAACCAGCAGAGGGAAGACCTCTCTCTCTGTCTCTCTCTCTCTCTCTCTCTCTCTCTGCCTCTGTAACTCTGGCTTTCAAATAAATAAATAAATCCTAAAAATAAAAAAAGAAGAGGATCAAGCTAGAACATTCCTACAGGCAATAGAAAACTGTAGAGAACGGCCAAGAAATTTGCATAAAGAACAAAAAGGAAACATAAAATAGTTAAAATCTTTTTACTTACTTGTTATTAATTTACAAGCAAAAAACAAAAGGACATTATAAAACTGAAAATATTTAACAATTATACATCGTTCACACTTTCATGATACTAGCAGACACAGTAACAATGTATTTCAGAGTCTTTTTTTTTTTTTTACATTTATTTATTTATTTGACAGGCAGAGTTACAGAACGGCAGAGACAGAGAGCGAGAGAGAGAGCAAGAGAGAGAGAGAGAGGTCTTCCATACACTGGTTCACTCTCCAAATGGTCACGTGGCCAAAGCCAGGAGCTTCTTCCAGGTCTCCCATGTGGGTACAGGGGCCCATGGACTTGGACCATCTTCTACTGCTTTCCCAGGCCATAGCAGAGAGCTGGACTGGAAGAGGAGCAGCCAGGACTTGCACCGGTGTCCATGTGGGATGCAGGCATCCCAGGCAGTGGCTTAACCTGCTGCATCATGACGCTCACCCATCCCAGTGTACTGAATTCTTGAATCTTTCATGATTTGTTGCTCCTCTATTGGGGAATGATTCTTTTCCTTTCTTCTGTTTGAACGATTTATTTATTTACTTGAAAGTCAAAGCAAGGGAGAGAGAGAGAAAGAGACAGACAGACAGACAAACAATCTTTCATCTGCTGCTTCACTCCCCAGATGGCCACAGTAGTCAGGTCTGGACCAGGCCAAAACCAGGAGCCAGGAGCTTCGTCCTGGTCTCTCGCATGGTGGCAGGCCCCCAAGTTCTTGGGCCATCTTCTGCCACCTTCGCAAGTAGCAACTTATCTCCTTTGTCACCAGGCCTGCCCAGGACAAATTTTGGATGAATCGAATAAAAATCAGGATTTCTTTCAATAGAGGCCGTGCCGGATGAAGCTCTCGGAAAGATTTACAGCAGAGTCAGAGGAAGGAACCCCTCTTTCCTTAAGCCCGAGGCAACAGTTTGGGTTCAGTGGCGGCTAACGGAAATAAACCTAGCCGGCTTACACAGCAAAGGGTTAGAGACGTAGGCCTGGGTCCAGAGACAACTCCAGGACTTGAGGGTCATGTGACCTTCGCTTGTGACACAGAACAACCGGCACTGCTACAGGAAGCCGCTCACCGGGTGACCCTGCCACGGATGTCCCAAGCTATAGAGCTCAGCTCCAAATCTGTGTCTCGCACCGAGCAGTGTGCGAGCTCAGGGGACTCCCGGGAGTGTCACTCTCCCTCCCAGCCTCTGCATTTCAGCAGCAAAAGCAGCTTCGGGGTGTGGGGAGCACCCCACCTGGCTGAGCCCCGTGTTTGTCTGCTTACGATGAAACGCACCCTTAACTGGGGCACTACTCGTAAAGCAGCAAGGAGAGATATATTTTTTTAAAAAGATTTATTTATTTATTTGAAAGCCTGAGTTACACAGAGAGAAAAGGAGAGGCAGAGAGAGAGAGAGAGAAAGAGAGAGAGAGAGAGAGAGGTCTTCCATCCGCTGGTTCACTCTCCAATTGGCTGCAACGGCCAGAGCTGTGTCGATCTGAAGCCAGGAGCCAGGAGCTTCTTCCTGGTCTCCCATATGGGTGCAGGGGCCCAAGGACTTGGGCCATCTTCTACTGCTTTCCCAGGCCACAGCAGAGAGCTGGATCAGAAGTGAAGCAGCTGGGACTCGAACTGGCGCCCATATGGGATGTCGGCACTGCAAGCGGCAGCTTTACCTGCTGCGCCACAGTGCCAGCCCCAAGGAGAGATCTTTTTGTTTTGTTTTGTTTTTGTTTTTTGACAGGCAGAGTGGACAGTGAGAGAGAGAGAGACAGAGAGACAGAGAGAAAGGTCTTCCTTTACTGTTGGTTCACCATCCAATGCCCGCTGCAGCCGGCGCACCGCGCTGATCCGATGGCAGGAGCCAGGAGCCAGGTGCTTCTCCTGGTCTCCCATGGGGTGCAGGGCCCAAGCACCTGGGCCATCCTCCACTGCACTCCCTGGCCACAGCAGAGAGCTGGCCTGGAAGAGGGGCAACCGGGACAGAATCTGGTGTCCCGACCAGGACTAGAACCCAGGGTGCCAGCGCCGCAGGCGGAGGATTAGCCTAGTGAGCCGGGGCGCCGGCCAAGGAGAGATCTTAAAAGCTCAGCTTTGGGGCTGGCTCAGTGGCGCAGCGTGTTAAGCCACCATCTGTGGCACCGGCATCCCATATGTGCACTGATTCGAGTCCTGGCTGCTCCACTTCCCATCCAGTTCTCTGCTGTGGCCTGGGAAAGCAGTGGCAGATGGCCCAAGTCCTTGGGTCCCTGCACCCACATGGGAGACACGGAGGAAGCTTCTGGCTCCTGGCTGCATCCTGGCCTAGCACTGGCCATTGCAGCCATTTGAGGAGTGAACCAGTAGATGGAAGATCTCTCTCTCTGCTCCTGCCTCTCTGTAACCCTGCCTTTCAAATAAATAAATAATTATAATAAGTCCCAGTAACCCCTACAGTGCTTCAGGGAGCCCCAGGCCTACTTGGTGTGATACCCAGCACCTGCTCCTCCAGCCTGCTGGGCCAGAGGTGAAGGGTCCTTGGAGCTGGGCGCAGCTGGGCTCCGCAGCTGGGGAGTGATCGGGCTGAGGACCTCCCATCTTCCCCCTGGAGCCCACCCTGGCAGGGAGGAGCAGCCGGTCTGAGGCCCAGCCCCACCTGGCAGGATCTTGGCCAGCTCCCGAGACAGAGCAGCCTCGCTTGGGGCCCCCAATCCCTTCCTAACCCGCTTGACCCAGCTCAGCCCAGGGGGTTTGAGGCTGCCCATCTGTCAGCAGCCAGCCAGGCCCCAATTAAGTGTGTGCCCGGGAGTCTGGGAGACGGACGGCTGGGGACCCCAGGTGCTGTGGCCGGCTGTGGTGACCACCTCACGGAACTCCTCCCACGTCCAGGTGAGGCCCCCTCTGGACCCACGCTGCCCTCCTAGGGCTCCTACAGCTGCAGGAGACCCGGTCCTCTCCTCTCCGTTCCAGATACCTGCTGTGTGAGCTCCAGCCTGGAGGAGGAAGAGCCGCCGCTGGGCAGGGCGGGGCTGGGCATGTCTGGGCCACCCTCCTGCCCGGGGCCCGACAGCCTGGCCCCAGGCTGCAGGCCGGCAGCCGCCCTGTACTGGGCCTGCGTGCGCAACGATACAGCCCAGCTCCAGGCTTTGCTGGATGCTGGGGTCTCCCCAGAGGAGGCTACGCAGGCCGATGGCAATGGGCGGGTGAGACACTCCCCTCCCTCGCCCCTACCACGTGCTTGGGCCAGGGCTCCGTACCCCATGCTGCACTGCCCTGAGTCCCAGAGAGAGAGAGAGAGAGAGAGAGAGTCAAGGTCAACCCCCACGACCTGTGTGCTGAGCTGGAAGGGGGTGGGGGAGCATGGGGCTGGGCCCTGGGACAGGTGTGGGCCCCAGGGAGACCCAGGAGGGGACTCAGCTGCCCCGCCCTCAGACAGGCCTCATGGTCGCCTGCTGTCGCGGCTTCAGGGACGTTGTGGTCCTGCTCAGTCGCTGTCCTTTCCTCGACGTGAACCAACAGGACAACGGAGGCGACACGGCCCTCATGCTGGCGGCCCAAGCAGGTGCGAGGCTGCTGGCCCCCACCCTCCCCCCTCGTGCTCTGCTGCTTCGTGGGGAGGAGGGTGGGTGCGGAGCTTCATCTCCCTGGGCGCCCTGCAGGCCACGTATCTCTGCTAAGCCTTTTGCTCAACTACTACGCCGGCCTGGACCTGGAGCGCCGGGACCAGCGGGGGCTCACGGCACTGATGAAAGCCGCCATGCGCGACCGCGCCGAGTGTGTGGCTGCCCTCCTCATGGCAGGTGTGTGGCCTCAGCCCCTCCCACCAGCTTCCTGCACCCAGCCAGCCAGCCAGCCTTGAGAGGGGTGAGAGGGTGAGGATCAATCCAGGCCAACTTCCTGGTGGAGAGGCACATGCTGCTGGCCTCTCTCAGTCAACTCAGTCTGGCTGTCAATGGCTCAGCGGATGGAGGACGCAGAAAAGACAGCCTGGGAGGATAACAGAGACCAGCAGGAAAAACACAATCAGACGCTGGTTTCTGGCCCTGGCCTTGCCCCTAACTGGGTGCCCCTGGCAGACGGCCTCCTGCTCTGTGCCTCGCCTGTAGGCTGAGGGTGCTCTAAGACAGGTCTGCAGGGAACAAGCTGACGCGTGGCGGTGGCGTGGGGGGTCCTCGTTCTTCCCCAAGGTGGGGCTCACCCTGGTGGGATTCCAGCCTCTGGCTTTCCCCTTCCCCACCCCAGCAGGCTGGGTTTGGTGTGAGGAGAGAAGGACCCCACAGCCATTCCTTTGTCTCAGAGTGAGGGCTCCTCCCCTATGCACGCTGCAGGATCCCAAGGGAGTGGAGATGCTGGGAGGAAGGAGAGGGAACCAGCAGAGCTCCCCTCCCCACCCCCAGCCCCAGCACCCAGCCCCGCAGGTGCAGCCTGGGCCTCTGCTCCCTCTGCTCCAACCTGGGAGCCTGCACGGTGGGCCACTGAATTTCCCTCTGCGGCCCAGACTGTTGGGCTCTCTTATACGGCAGGTTGCAATACCACTGTTCACCAACAGGGGACGCTGTGTCTGAGGATTTAACCCAACTCCATCCTGCGTTGGAAGAATCCGCGCCTTGTCCAACCCTCACATCACCCCGTGTGGCCCCCTCCCAGGTGCTGACCTGACAGCGGTGGATCCAGTGCGGGGCAAGACGGCCCTGGAGTTGGCAGTGCTCACCGACAGCTTCGCTGTGGTGCGGAGGATCCGACAGCTGCTGCGGCGGCCCCGGCTGGAGCAGCTCAGCGAGCACTACCGGCCCGAGTGGCCGCCCTTGCCCGGGCTGGTAGCACAGGCCAAGGCCCGGGCTGCCCCAACCTTCCTAGAGCGGCTACAGGCCAGCTTGACCTTCTCCTTCCCCCAGGATCCTCAGGAGGGGGGCGTCCTGGACCACCTCGTCACCATCACCACCAGCCTGGCCAGCCCCTTCCTCACCACTGCCTGCCACACTCTGTGCCCTGACGACCCACCTGCAGTGGGCACCCGAGGCAAATCCGTGCCGGAGTTGCTCGGGACTGCCCCGCCCCCGCCCCCTGCTCCCCAGCCCCCCCAGGTTGTCCCTGGCCCCCGGGTCTTTGTCCCCTACCAGAGCCCCCAGGGCATGCTTCCTCAGTGGCTACAGTGGAGGGACAGTAGCAGCCCCAGGTCCCAAGTGCCCAAGATCCTCCTCTCCAAGGCACCACCATCTTTCAGCCTGTGTCTGCCGAAGCCCAGCTCTGCAGGGCATCATAGGCTGGCCCTCCCTGTCTGGCATTACCAGGAGCTCCGGATGGAGAGGAAAAGGCAGGAGGAGGAAGAAGCCAAATAGGCACAGACGCAGGGGAGGATGGGTGGGTCACCTCCACCTCGGTGAATCTGCTCTCAAGTCTGCAGGGTGCGAAGTGTAGAACAGCAAGCATGCCACGTAGCCACGCGTCTAAGTACAGTTTTCACCAAGCCGAACGTGAGTCACGTCGCTCTATACCGAGCGCAAGGGTTCACTCGGCTTGATTGAAACAGCGGTCGGGATCAAAGGCAGAAAGGGGAAACAGGTGTTGAGAGTGGCGGAGTTTTACAAAGTTTCACAAAGTTAGGTGTAGAAAGCTAACTTCCTCCCTGGCAAGCAGAACCTATGGTTTTAAAACGTAATTGTTTTATCAGACAAAAATAATTTGCTGTCGATCAATCACCCGCAGGTCAGCCCCTTGCTAATAGCATGTCAAAGTTATCCTCAGCGACTCGGGGGTGTTCGTAGCCCCCCTGTGAGCTAAAGTATCTTGGGAGGGTGTTTAGCCTGGAGGTTAAGCCAATCAAGTCCCAGCTCGGCATTTTCGGGGTTTGATAGCTGGCTCCAACTTCCTGCGAATGCACGCCCTGGAGGCTGCGGGGATGGCTCAGGTCACTGTAACCCTTGTGGGAGACCCAGGCTGAGTTCCCGGCTCCCATTTCAGCCTCTGCCCAGGCGTTACAGGCATCTGGGGGTACCCCGCAAAGAGGGAGCTGTCTCGGTCTCTCTCTGTTTCTCCAGTAACTAATAAACAAACAAACAAAAAGCTTTCAAAATAAATACACTTGTTTGTAAGTTACGAGGATAATGTTAAGTCAGCACCCGCTTATAAAGTGCTTACTGCACACAGTTACACACTGGACCCCTGACCCCTAAAATCCCACGGCTGTCATCTTTGAGGACAGCAGGCACAGAGCAGATAACAGCCCAGGTCCCACCACTGGAAAAAGGACAGAGGTCAAGATTGAGCCAGAGGCGGTGACTGCGGGGGCTCCCCAACATTCGGCCACCACCCCTCCCCCTCCACGCCCACCTTCCCTGCGGGAGAATTGAGCAGCCAACCTGGGGAGGGAGCAAAACTCTTCACCAAGTATCTTTTCTGTCCTTTTTATAAAAAAAAAAAAAAAAAGAAAGAAACAGGATTATTTTAGAACAGTTTTAGATTTGCAGAAAAGCTGTGAAATAGTACGCAGAGCGCCCCCATACCCCGCAGCCAGCTTTCTCTGTTATTAATGCGGATATAGAACATTTGTTACAACTGGCAAGCCAGTACCCATGCCTCGCAATTAGGATTAACAAAGCTTGCACTGGGTTCAGATTTCCCTCGGTTTCTCCTGATGTCCTCTTTCCACATCCAGGCTACCTCATCCCCTCTCCTTGCAGAGCGTTGTGACTTTTTAAAATCATGCAATATCACGTTTTTTTTTTTTTAATTAAAAATAAATCTGGGTCGGTATGGTGGTGCAACGGGTTAAGCTGCCACTTGCGACACCCGCATCCGGAACTGGAGTGCTGGTTTCGGTCCCGGCTGCTCTGCCTCTGATCCAGCTCCCTGCTAATGCACCCAGGAAAGCAGCAGAGGATGGCCCAAGTGCTTGGGCCCCTGCCACCCACATGAGAGACCCAGATAGAGTTCCTGGCTCCTGGTTCTCATCTGGCCCAGCCCAACTATTGCAGCCATTTGGGAAGTGAACCAGTAGATGGAAGATTTCTCTCTCTCTCTCTCATGAAAATGACCACTAGGGTTAGATAACGTGGGATTTCTCTGCCGGGCTCTGACAGCAACCGAGCTGGGCCAGAACGGGCTCGGGGCTGGCCCTGCCTTCCCCACCTGTATTAGCCTGAACGAGGTGCTTCAGTTTCTCTTGCGTGAGCCTGAACATCTGTCCAATGGAGAGAGGTGGGGTTTTCGGAGGAACCCAGTAGACAGCTAAAAAGAAGGGTTCTGCAAACAGCCACCTGCTCCTGAGAGGCGTGGTCTTCAGGCAGGGCCCCTGCCCTACAGGGATCTCCCCTCCCCGCCCAGGGCTGTGAGCCCAGCACACCACGCCAGCCTGGGCACCATGTCACAGACAGCCCACAACGCCTGTGCTCCTGCTGGTGAGATGCCGTGGCCTGGGAGGCAGCCGTGACCTTGGACAAGGGGGATCACATTTCTGAGCCTCTCAGCAGTCACCTGGAGAACTGTGGGGGGAGGGATCTACTGTGGGGCTGCCGGCCCTGTGCCTGGGCTTGCTCACATCCTTCTCTTATTCTCTGCCTTCCAATGGTGCAATTAGGGAAACTGAGGCTGTGAACGTTGGGCCTAACGTTCAGCTGGTGAGCGGCAAAGTGGCACCAGGAGACCCCGGAGCCCGAGTTGCTTCCACCATAGCGTAAGGCCTCCGCCTACAATTCCCACCACGGAGCTGGGACCCGGAGGGGAGGGGGATCTGGGGTTCTCCCGCCTGGCTCTGTCCCAGCTTGGTTGGCGCTGGAGCAGGAAGCTGAGTGGACAGGAAGGCCTGGGCCAGCAGAGGGAGCCCCTCCTCCTTGGAGAAGACCTACCCTCCCAACCCTAGCCGTCCCCAGGGTAGCTGCAGACCCAGGCTATCCTTCAGGGCCATGCCAGCTCCCTCCCAGCCCCTAAGCCTTCAGAGGGGCCTGGGCGGGCTCCGCTGTGTTCTCACAGTCAGCCTCTCCTCTGCTCCCAGCCACCCCGGCTCTCCAGCTCCTGAGGCTTCCAGGCGGGGGCCCCATCCGCAGAGGCCGAGCAGCCCGTGATAGGACCCCTGGCCACAGGGAAGGCGCCTGCTGCAACATTCAGAATCTGGTAGACTCGGGTTTCAATCCTGGCTCTGCCTCTCCCAGCCTCTGCTCCTCACTGGTTACAACACAAGCTACTGGGGCGGCGGCAGAGGGGTGGTTGCTGGTACGGGGGAGTGGCTCTGTGGCAGAACAGGTAAAGCTGCCACCTGCAGTGCCGGCATCCCATAGGGGTGCCAGTTTGAGTCCCAGCTGCTCCACTTCTGATCCAGCTCCCTGCTAATGGCCTGGGAAAGCAGCAGAAGACGGCCCAAGTGCTTGGGCCCCTGCTACCCAGGTGGGAGACCTGGGTAGAGTTCCAGACTCCTGGCTTTGGCCTGGTCCAGTGCTGGCTGTTGTGACCATCTGGGGAGTCAACGTCTTGATGAAGAGTGAGCAGTGGTGAGGCCCACTCAGTAAGCGCAGCCTGTGTGCTACTGGGCTTGAAGCGGCAGCACGGAGAACATAACTGAGAGGCAGCTCCCTGGAGGAGGCGGGTGGGCATTCCCTGGGCTCCCCAGCCCACACTTGCTCATCTTGCACCTGCCACCCAGGCCCATTCCCAGCCTGCACCCCATCACCGCCAAGCGGACCCGGGGGTGCATGGGCCCAACCTCACCTGGTGCACAGGCCGGGCCTCCAGAGGGGATGCAGGGTTGGCCATCCTGAGCCATGCCAGGATGTCAGTGGGGCCCCACTGACTCCTGGGCCGGCAGCCACCATGTCTGTGTGTCACCCCAGCTCTGAGAATGGCCCAAACAGACTCACTGTGAAGACCCGAGTGCAGGTTCTGCCTTCGTCAGAAGCCCCCTCCTCCTCTTCTAGGAGCTCCCTGGCTCTGGGTGTGGCAGGAGTTCCTGGTGACTCTCGGCCATGCCCAGGGACCCTCCTGCTGGATCAGGAGACAAGGGAATTCATGTGTACGTGTACGTGTACGTGTGTGTGTGTGTGTGTGATGAGGCCAGGAGGTCAGGCGAGGGCTCACCCAGCTGAGCCCCCTCCCACCCACACTGGGGCGTCTGCACAGGGTCCCCTTCTCCGCCAGTCGTTTTTCCCATGGGGTTGAACCCCAACGTGTCTCCCGGCACACCAGGCCCAGGCCATCGCCCCCTGTCCGTTGCCCAGCCGGCCTCTCCAGGCCCCTTCCTCTGCCAGAATTCAGCTGCCATCTTGCTAGGGTTCACATAGAGGCTGAATACCAATAGTTGTTCAAATTATTAATTCATTTGTTTTCACTGATGCGCTTGAAAGAGGGACAGGCAGATCTTCCATCTGCTGGTTCACTCCCCCAAATGCCTGTACAGCCAGGGCTGGGCCAGGCTAAAACCAGGAGCCCAGGATGCCATCTCTGTCCCCCGTGTGGATGGCAGGGATCCAGGTACTGGAGCCATCACCTGCTGCCTCCCAGAGTGCGCATCAGTAGGAAGCGGGGATCAGCGCCCAAACCAGGCACTCTCACGCATGCGTGTCTCACCCTCTGTCCCACCCAGCGGCCCTGCAGAGGCATAGAGCTGCTCTCTCCACCTCTGGTTGTTCCCTGTGGAGAGGAGGACTGGCAGGTGCACCCCCGGCCTTGCCTCTTCCACCGTGGGGACACAGGCCATGAAGGTCACTGGCACTCACACTGCCCAGAGCACATAGAGGGCCACACCAGCGAGAACGCACACTCACACTCGGCCACAAGTACACACAAAACACACAGACAGACCGATGGTGCAAAAAAAATAAAGGCGGTGCCTCCCCTCCCCCACCTCCATCCCTACAGCCCAAGGGTCCAGGCCCCTCCTCTCTGCCTTGGGTGTTTTGCCTCCATTGCCTACACAGCCTATGTGTGTTAGGGGGATCAGAGTTTCAGGGTCCAGCAGACCACATGGAGGGGAGGGGGGAGCGGAGGGAGGCCCAAGCCCCGCCCTCTCGCCTGGGCATGCGCCTTAACTGCAAAGAGCTGTGGCCCCGCTGAGGCTGAAAGGGGAGAGGTGAGCAGTCCAGCCCGAATTCCTTCTTTGTGCCTCTTTACGAGACAAACCTGCCTCAGACGCCCCCGGACCCCCATCTGCTGTACCCACGCCCGGGCAAGGGGCAGAGACGCGCCCGAGGGCTCTCAGTCCCAGGCGCAGCGGGCCTGGGAGGGGCAGGGCCTGGGCACGGATGCTGGAGGGGGCGGGAGCGGGGCAGCGTCTGTGGCATTTCCCCTGCAGCTGGGAACAAAGGCGGATTCCTGAGTCCAGCGTGAGCAATCCGGTCCCACCCACCCGAGTGGCCCCGAGCTGAAGGAAATCCTCGCTGGCCTCTGGCCTTGCGCAGCCACTCGGCCACTCTCCCAAACAAGTTTTCTCCTAGGCAGCACCGGCACTCACTTTTAAGTCCCCGAGGCCCCCTCCTGTCCAAACGCCCAGGGCGCCCTGCTGGGGATGTTCACCGTAAACCCTCGGAATCACCTAGAAGCCTGCCAGGCCCCCACCCTCTCTGCCGGCCCGTCCTGCCCTCCCTCACCCAAGCTCAGACCCTGCCCCTCACTGGGTGAGGGAGCCTCCACGCCTCCTCTGCCCGCCCAGACGCCCAGCAAGGCCCTCAAGGAACGAGATCTTCACCTCTGCTAATTGATTCGTCTTCCCCACCCGCATCAGAATTGCAGCTCCAGGGATGCGCGGGCATGTGGCACTGAAGCTAAGTCACCAACTGGGACTCCCACATCTATGTCTGAGTGCCCGGTTCCAGTCCTGGCCACTCCGTTTCTGAGCCAGCCAGTTACTTGCTGGTGCGCACCCCTGGGAGCAACAGGTGTTGGCTCAAGTGCTTGGGCCCCTGCCACCCATGTGGGTGAGCTGGAGGAAGCTCCTGGCTCCTGGCTTCGGATCTGCGCAGCTCTGGCCGTCACAGGCAACTGGGGAGTAAACCAGCAGATGGAAGACCTCTCTCTCTCTGCCTCTCCTTCTCTCTGTGTAACTCTGACTTTCAAATAAATAAATCTTTAAAAATAATCTATTTTCTTGTAAACTCATAATAAGTATAGCACCCATGTATATGGCACCTACTGTATGCATTTACACACTGACCCTCCTCAAATCCTGATGATGTCATCTTTGAGGACATATAGGGAATTGTCCAGACAGATCCTCTGTCTGTCTGTCTCTACCTCTCAATTACATAAGATAAAGAGAATGCAGTTGGAGAAGAAACCCCCCGCCATGGGGACAGTAACTGAACCTCACAGCACAGGTGCTCCAAGCCCTGTCCCTTCTGCTGATTTCCTCTCCCCCAGCAGTGAGGCGGGGCTGGTGGGCATGGGTTCGAGGCTCTGGGAGACACGAGGGGCAGGCAATCCTGAGCTGCCAGGCTGGGACGGGGCCTCTGCAGACTCGAGACCTCACGCCCACCCAGCCCTCTGGCTTCGAATGGGCAGCGGCTCACCTCCAGACCCTCCTGCCAGATGCACCCTCTCCCCAGCCCCCCACAAGAGCGTCCACGCTCAGATGAGTCACCTTGAAGGTGCGGGCCTGGGTAGCGAGCGGATGATGCCGTCCAGAAGGGCCGGAGAGGAAGAGGAAGAGAGCTTGGCGGCTGGGCGGCTGGGAACCCAGCTGCCAGCTTCGTCCGGACGTGCTGGGAGGAGCGCCCCTTTCACCTGACTCACAGCGGCAGGGCCTGGGAAGATCGCAGATGGCTGGGAGGGGTCGTGGGGATCAGCCGGTGTGCGGGGGGAGACACTGAGCCCCATGCTGCCTTGTGCCCTGAGCCGAAGACTTTTAGAAAGTTCGTTCCTCTCCCTCTTCCTTCAGGTCAAGCCCACACTCCGGAAGACTCTGCCATGTGTGGAACAGATGGGATTTACTGGCCTCGGCCCACAACCCCCTTTATTCTTCCTGCACAACTCTCGCCCCTTGGGTACCCTGCACCACCGTGCTCCCGTCTCTTGGGTTTGAGTTATCTTTTCCATGTCTAACCTGAGTCTCTCATGCTGCAACTTCAGTGGAGCCAAGCCCAGCGCACCTCTGCTTATGCCCTCCCCTGTTTTTCCTGCCTCCTCTGCCTGGTGCAGAACTGGCTACCTAATTTGTGGGGGCCAGCGCAAGGTGGAGATGCTGAGCCCTTTGTTCAACGGGAAGAGTGGAGTGTCACCAAGCGTGGGGCCCTATGTGTGTGCATGGGTTGTACACCCATGGTCAAGGGTGAAGCTTGAACTTAGTGCCCATAACTTCTCCTAGGAGATCAAAGTGAGCGGCTGGTGCTGTGGCATAGCGGGTAAAGCCGCCACCTGCAGTGCCGGCGTCCCATATGGGTGCCAGTTCGAGTCCCAGCTGCTCCTCTTCCGATCCAGCTCCCTGCTGATGGCCTGGGAAGGCAGTGAAGATGGCCCAAGAGCTTGGGACCCTGCCACCCATATGGGAGACCCAGAGGGAGTTCCTGGCTCCTGGCTCCTGGCTTCCGCCTGGCCTCGGCCTAGCCATTGTGGCCACCTCGGGAGTGAACCAGCAGAAAGATCTCTCTCTCTCTTTCTGTCTCTCTCTCTCTGTCTCTCCCCTCTCTCTCTGCAACTCTGCCTCCCAAATAAATAATCTCTATAGGCCAAGGTGTCCATCCCCCTGCCGTCCCTGCAGGCTGCACGTCACATGCCTTCCAACAGTGGGAGTCTCTTCCAGGGCCACTCCACGCCCAGTTCCCACGCCCTCCAGGCCTCTGCTGCGGGCCGTGCTGAGAAATCCTCCGAGCATCTAAATTCTCATCTGAGTCCTTGGGGCCTGTTTCCTCTCATTCTGGCCCGGCTGAAAATGGCAAACAGCTGGTCCCTGGGAGCCGTCGGTTCTCGGAGACTTGGCCACGGTCCGTAATTTCTTCTCCCAGTTCTCTCTGGGCTGAGGCTCCAGTGCTGTCTCCAAATCTTTCCCCTCCTCTGATCCCTTCCCCCCCTACCCTCACATCCTCTGGGACCTTTGCAAGCCACCAGGCTCACCAGACAGCCCCCAGAGAGCTCCAGTCCAGGGCCAGAAGGCTCAGTGCTCTGAGGAGGAGAGGGAGACGCCAGCATGGATGACTGGCCCCCACTTACCACTGGGTCCTCTCTCCTGCTCCCCAGTGCCCAGCCGGTGTCCCCGTGCGCATCTCAGACTCAATGCCTCCCTGGGCGGGGGTGGGGAGGAAGAGCCTCCACTCCCTCCCCCTAGGATGGAGATCTGTGTGGTGGGGCGGATGGGGGGAGGGAGGAGAGGAGGTGTGAAAGATGGCCACAGGCCCCGCTCGCAGGCCTCCAGCTCATACAGTGCCCAAGCAGCCACTATAATCTGGGAGAGCAGATACCGTAATCCCATACTACTTCCTTATTGGCTGCAGGACACGGCTCGGTCCTGACACTGAAATTGGGGTGTGCCGGCCCTTCTGGGAATTCACTGAAGCAGCTGCGGGCTGGGCTCCGCAGGAGGAAGTGAGTGAGGTCAGCCACTGGCTGTCTGAGCCTCTGACCACTGTCTCCCCCAGCCTCTGTTCCCGGCAGTGGGTGGGGGTCCCTGCCCCTCCTGCAGAATCCCGGCTTCCCACCTCCTCCCCAGCTGCTTCATTCATGGATTTAATTAGCAAACTGCTCTGCACCAGCCCAGCCAGCCAGCATCTGCTATGTGCTAAAGTTAAGCTCCACTTCCTGCCATTCTCCCAGCCCCATGGGGCTGGCACTCTGCAGCACGCCCATTTAGCAGACTGGGAAGCTAAGGCCAGGAGCAATGTTGCTAGCCTGAGATCACACAGTTCTGCCTCCAGGATGTCACAAGCTGGAGCAACAGTAGAGGCGTGGGGGTGGGGGGTAGGAGGGGGGGCCTTGCCCCCTGGCCTGGAAGCCATCTGCACCCCTCCCCAGCTGCCTTGTCTCAGCAGGATTTCCAGGGAAGCACCCTCTGGCTCCATCTGATAGGATGGGGGCCTGCCTGGAGGAGGCAGGTCCATGGAAGCACTCAGCTCTCCCTGCATTCTGGACACCCTGGGGTAGAGAGCTGGGGTGCCCAGAGTGGCTCAGGCTACCCTCATCAGTGACCCAGAGTCACCCACCTGGGGCCTGCTTGTCCCTGGGCTGGGGCGAGTGGACACTGGGAGGGGCCCAAAGGAGGAGTCCCAAGCACTGGGGAGTCCCCAAGGGTGGAGCCAAAACGTCCAGACCCCATTTTCTGCCCTGCCAGGTAACTGACCCTCCTCCTTCTCCTCCTCCCCACCCCCCAGGCCCCTCAGCTGCTAGGAGCGGCCCCATCTCTGCTCTAGCCCCCACAGCTCTGGGCCAGGCGCCCTCAAGACCCCCCGCGGGCCAAGGCCCGCCCCGCTCAGGCAGGCGGATGTGGGAGACTGGGCTGGGGCTTCCCTGGGGAGTGAGGGGCGGCTGCGCTGGGGGTCCCAGCAGCCATGGAGGAGGGCGGGCCCTGCAGCCCCGCAAGGGGCCGGCGGGCTGCCTGGCGGAGAGCTGGGCAATAGGAAACGGTTTATTAGGAGGGAGTGGTGGAGCCGGGCCAGGCAGGAAGACGCTGGAATAAGAAACATTTTTGCTCCAGCCCCCTTCCCAGTCCTGAGAGGCCGCCGCGCCAGCCGCGCCGAGCAGAGCCCGAACCGATCCCAGCCCTGTCCAGGGCCGCGCCCGGACCCCGGCCGCCGTCCCGTTCTCGTCGTCGCGCGTCCGCGGCCGCCGTCGGGGAGGGGACGCGGCCCGCCGCGCCCCGCAGGCCCAGAGGTGAGTGGAGGTCGGCGGGCGGGCGGGACCGGGTGCGGACGGCCAGACCCCCGCCGCAGGGGGCCCTTCCTCTGGGCGGGTCAGCGAGGCCTCTGGGAGGTCCTGGCAGGGCCCGTGCTGGAGGGCAGGGTGGCCCTCACCGCTGTCTGCGCGGGTCTGCCGGTGACCCACCTGGGCCTGGGACGCGGGAAACTCTGCTGCCGCCAGCTGATGGGGGGGCCACTCCCAGAGCGCCTCTGTTCTACCCGCATCCGTGAATGGGTCTTTCTTGGCCCGCGGAGGCGCCATCACATGCCCCTCCGGGCCACCTGGGGGCCATGGGCCACTTCCAGTGCGGTGGAGTCCCCCTCGGAGCCCACCCGTCCCAGGCCCTCCCTGCTGGAGGGGTCTGCCACTGCGGAGACTCCATCCCGCAAAACCCACCTTGACCCTGCCTGGGCACCCTGGCCACGGCCTCCCATCGAGGACCCAGGCCGGAGGGACCCGTTTTCAGTCAGTCCCACCCCCTTTTCTGTTTGGGACAGCAGCTGGCACTCCATGTGTGGGTAAGGTCTCAGCTTTCTGACCCCACGCTGCCCTAGTTGTCCTCCAGCTCCTTGGATTGTTAGAAATAGCCAGCATTTATTGAGTACTTACTGTATACCCACTGAGATACGTTTTTTTCCCGTCTTGTAATGCTGGCCACAGATAACATAAGATGGGTGATTCTGACCATGCTACCTAAAAGACAACAAACACATACTCGGATAGCTGGTCTGCAGGTTCACTGGTGGTGTCAATGGGGTTTGGGTAGCATTCATTATGTGCTTACTGTATACTACTTAGTATTTTGCTGAAGTTTCACTACATCATCCCTATGAAATAAGTGCTAATATTATTCCCATTTTGCCTGCAAGGGGAAGCCTGGGCCTCAGAAGCTTGTGTCATTGGCCCCAGATCTCGTAGCTCTGAGTGGCAGAGGCAGGATTTGAACTCGAGTCCACATGACCCAGACCACGCCCGGCCACTACGCCAAACGGGAGTCGCCTCTAGCTGTGGTTTCAGGCACCAGGGTCGACTGCAGTCTGGAAACATTAGATGGAAACTTCTAGAAAGAAACAATTCATACGTTGTAAACCGTACACTGATCTGAATAGTGTAATGAAATGTTGCATTGTCCCACTCTGTCCCTCCTGGGACACGGGACACGAATCGTGTTTTAGTCCCGCGTGTCCAAGCCATGTACACTGTCCACCAGTGGTCACTTGTGGGCCGTCTTGGTTACCAGATCGGCTGTATGGCGGTGCTCCTGTTCAAGTAACCCGCATTTTACCCAGCAGTGCCGGAGCAATGATACTGGCAATTTGGATATGCCAAAGAGCGGCCTTTTGGTGCTACTTTTAAGTGAAAAGGTGGAATTAATACTTCGATTACCGTTGTTTTATTTTATTATTAGTTGTTACGGCTCATCTCTCAGTGTATGCATTTGTAAGTCAGACTTTATCAGGGGTGTGTCTGTATGGGAGAGAGGTAATGAGACAGGCTGGGGGGGGGGGGTGTCCTGGAACCCTGTCCCCCGGGAGAAGGCGGGCTGCTGTGGCTCTGACATCCCGGCTTGGTCCGCTCCGGAGGGGCCGAGGGGATGATGCAGTGACCCCTGAGGGCAGCCTTATGTGAGCAGCTGAGTCCAGGCAAGACCCGCTGCAGGGCAGGGGCAGGCAGGACAGATGTGTTTGATGAAGCACTTCCGCAGCCTCAGGGCAGTCACAGCTGTGCTGAGCTGCTGCTGATACACCGCTGGGATCAGCCCCTTGGCTTCGCTGCAGGGAAAGACTGACAGGCACCTCCCAGGTACTCCCCTACTTTGCTTCTACCCACAGCAGAACAGATAATGTCAGTCTCGGTGTGTAAACAAACCCAAGTCCACCTGCTGATGAGGATGGCAGGGGCCAATGTGTCTGCCAAGGCTCGCGCCATCCGGTCTTTCCCCCGCCTAACTCAAGCGCTTGGAGGTATAGCAGCGACAGACTCAAGTGCCCGAGCCTCAGTTTCCCCACTGAGTGGCTGTGAGATTTAATGGAGATAAACCATTAAGGTTTAGCACTGGGGCCAGCGTTGTTGGTACAGCCAGCATCCTGCATACGTAGTGTCGGTTTGAGTCCCGGCTGCTCCACTCCCATCTGCTTCCTGCTAATGCGCCTGGGAAGACAGCAGAAGATGGCCCAAGTGCTGGGGCCCCAGCCTTCTATGTGGGGGACCTGGGTGGAGTTCCAGGCTCCTGGCTTTAGTCTGGCCCAGCCTTGGTTGCTGCAGCCATTTGTAGAGTGAGTCAACAACCTCTCTCTCTCTCTCCCCCCCACACACACCCCATTACTCTGCCTTTCAAATAAATAAATAAGTCTTTAAAGTTCAGGAATTAACACATAATTAGTACTCACAGGAGGCTAACCATTATTATTTCATAGGGTTAAGTTCATGTTTGCAGTGAGCGGAACAGCTGTGGTTTCTGGCCAGCAGCAGTGATGCTTCTATCAGCAGGACTGTTGTGCTAAGAAACAAAAGGCTCCCGCCCTGCTCCAGGAGTGCTGCTGCGGTCAGCTCGCAGGGCAGCTGGTCAGGGCTCAGCACGCTCCTGCACTCGACCTTCCGGGTCGCAGCTGGACGCATCACAGGCTTTCCTCCACCCCATTCCTGGGAGTAGACTGTAGTAGGACTGTGCAAGTGCTGGGGGCGTCCCTGCAAGGCAGCGGGTCCCTGCCCCACCCAAACCGCTGGCCTCAGGTTTAGCCGGGGTCACCCTTTCTCCCATGATGGGAAGATGGGGAGGTCCCTGGCTGGGAGTGAGAGTCCCCTCTCTGTGTGTCCCCGGGCACCAAGAAATGAAAGCCCAGGAACCTGTCTTAACGTTGTGGAGAACACATCTCTCATTCCCTGGGGGGGCAGGGGGGCGTTTTTAAAATGCAGGTTTCCTGCCGGTGCCAGAATCTGGAGTGAGAGCGAGACTGGAGCACCGCAGGGGATTCTGCTTCCAAGTAAAGGAGGTGAGAATGGACTGGGGTTGTCAGAGGAATGGCTGTCACTCCCTGCTGGCCTCATACCCCCTCTCCCTAGCTGCTTTCTGGGCAAGCCAGGGCTGCCAAGGAGTGCTTCCTGCCGGGATCCCCACCTGGGCTCGGGCCACCTCTCCATCAGCTGCCGGCCCCATTGCAGAGTGCTTGCCTGAGTCCTCACTGGCTGCCGGGCGGGGTAGGAGGGCCGAGGTCAGGCGGAGGCTGGGGGCACAGCTGCAGCAGCCCCGGGTTCCATTTCCTTCCCGAGCTCGGGCCTCTGGGGCAGAGGAAGCACCGGCAGGAAGGCCGGAGCTGCCACCAGGCAGAGAGGCCCATGAAGCCGCTCGCCCAGCCATCCTGCACTCCCAGCCTCAGCATCTCGGCTCCATCCTCAGAGCACGTGGCCTCATGCCCAGTCCTCACCAAGCCAGGCCAAAGGCCACCCCGCCTCCCTCGCGGTTGCCGCCCTACCTGGCCCCAGACCGACGCCAGCACACTCTGTACCCTTCAGGAAGTCCTGGGCGCCGTCTGACCACGATGCTTCTTGCTGTAGCCTGAGCCCCCGCTTTCTGTGTCTGACCCTTTGGGAGACGAAAAGCAGGGTTGCTTCTGAAGCAGTGGCCGGTGGGGGACAAGGGCTGGGGACTGTCCCAGACCAGAATTGCTCCTGGTAAACACTCTCTACCAACCGGCTGGAGCAGTTCGGCCAGCCCTGGCCAGCCACCGAAAGTCACGCATTGGGCGTTTAGGTGTGTTTCGCTTCCCTCGTGTCACTGGCCCTCCTACACCCTTTGCAGGACAGTTCCCGGGGACAGGAGGGGCCCAGGGAACAGAGCAGAGTTGGCACCAGACACTCCCGGGGTGGTGGAGCAGAGCAGAGAGGTTCCTTTTTGCCTGGCGTGAGCCAGCGCCAGACGGGGGCGCGGGGGTGGGTAGGGCAGCCACTACTGGGGCGAGAGAGAGAGTGGAAGGCGTGTGGGCGCCTGGAGCTCTTCCCAAGGGCCCTGTGACCCTGGACAAGTCTCCTGCCCTGTCTGAGCCTTACTCCCCACCCCCTCACACCTGCTCTACATCACGGGGCTGGATTCTGTGGTTTCCAAGGTGCGCTCCTAGAACTCCGTCTCCAGACCCCACACTGGCTGCCGGCTGCCCCGATTCCCTGCCCTGCGTGACTCCTTGCCTATTCTATCCAGACCCCAATCTAAACAATCTTGATTCCTGTTCCCCGGCGTGGCGGGACCCTGAATAGCAGGAAGTGAAGCCAGGAGTCTGTTTATGTTCCAGGCAGCCAGGGCTGGGGGGCTGGAGGTGGACCGGGGCACTGGGAAAAGGGTGGGCAGGGGTGAAAGCCGGGAGAGGGGTGGGCGAGGGGCAGAGGATGAGGGGCGGCTGCTGTGCCTTCTACACCAGCCCAGCTCTCAGCAGCTGGGGACTGGAGCCAGGGTTCCCCTAAGCTCTCAGTGACTGAAACATGGGCTCTCCACCCTTCACCCCTAACAGGATGGTTTCCATGGGGAAGTGAGCCAGAACTTCCCCTGTAGGCCCCGCCCCCAAGCAGACACAGGGAGTAGGGAGGTGGCCTCCGTGCCTTCCCCCCAAAAATACACCCAGTGATTTCCTCTGGCTGGGAGGGAACCGTAGTCCGCAGCTGTCACATTTTGCCAGTCTCCCTGTCTCTCTCCTGTCCCAGCGACCATGGCCTTGAACCCCCCCAGGAGCGGTTTTCTGATGCTGCTGATGACCTTGGGCCTCACCCAGGGTGAGTGTCTGGGGAGCAGGCAGGGAACGGGGGCCCTGCGTGGCTCAGCTGCTGCTCAGGCTGAACTTGAAAGGCTGGGAAGGAGTGAGGCACCGGGAACCTGGGCTGGAGGGAGAAGACAGTGGGGCTCAGGCCAAGCTCTCTGCCCTGGTCTTCCTCTGTCCTTGATCGCAGTCTGGGGTGCAGGGGGTGGGGGCGTCTCCCAGGCCGGGAGAGCCTCAGAGCTGGGGCTGAGGGCCTGGAACTGGGAGGGGAGATTGGGATCTCGGAGGCTCCGAGGATGGAGGTCAGGCCCCAAGGTCCCGAGCTTGTTTGAGGGGTTGGACGATGGGACAGAAATGGTGGCTGAGCCTCTCGTGTGTCTCCCAGGTGACCCTGGGCGGCCCTTGCGAGGCCCGCTGCTGACCTGCACGTGTGAGAACCCCCACTGCAGGGGGCCCACGTGCCAGGGGGCCTGGTGCACAGTCGTGCTGGTACGGGAGGAGGGCAGACGCCCCCAGGAGCACCGCGGCTGCGGGAGCCTGCACCCGGAGCTCTGCAGGGGGCGCCCCACCGACTTCGTCAGCCACTACTGCTGCTACAGCCCCCACTGCAACCACAACGTGTCCCTGGTGCTCGAGGGTAGGTCTGTGGGGCCCCCTGTCTCTGCCCCTGCCCTGCTTTCCTCCCGGGCTCTGGCCAGGGAGGGGTGGAGGCGGGGCAGAGAGGGCTACCGCAGGCGGGGGGGGGGGGGGCGGGGGGGGAAGCTGGGCCTCAATGTCCCCCTCTCCCAGCCACCCAAACCCCTCCGGAGCACCCAGCCAACGGCCAGTTGCCTCTGATCCTGGGCCCTGTGATGGCCTTGCTGGTCCTGCTGGCTCTGGGTGCCCTGGGCCTGTGGCGCGTGCGGCGGAGGCAGGAGAAGCAGCGGGGCCTGTACAGCGACCTGGGCGAGTCCAGCCTCATCCTGAAGGCATCCGAGCAAGGGGACAGCATGCTGGGGGTATGGGCATGGGGGGGTGGGGGGCGGGGAGGACGCTGGGACCCGGGGCGGGGGGCGGGCAATGACCCCCAGAGAAGGGGGCTGCTGCTGGGGGTGGGTGGCCCCTCAGTGGCCCCTCGGTGCCCCCAGGACCTTGTGGACAGCAACTGCACCACGGGCAGCGGCTCTGGGCTCCCCTTCCTGGTGCAGAGGACAGTGGCACGGCAGGTGGCCCTGGTGGAGTGTGTGGGTGAGTTGGGAGAGGGCTTCCATGAGCCTGGAGGGGTGAGGCCCCGGGCAGGCAGGGTGGGGCCGGGCCTGGGTCAGGTTGGGATTGTGCTGGGCAGGGGAGTGGCTTGGAGAGGGGCAGGACCTGGTGCTTCTGTGGGTGCAGGGGTGGAACGAGAGGCAGCTAGGGGTGGCCCGCAGCCGGGACTGGATGTGGATGTAGGGCAGCGGGGATGTCAGCAGTGCAGCAGCCAAGCTGAGGGGCTCTAGGTGCTCGGGGTGTGAACCTCGTCCTCTCCTCTGGCTGCCGCGTCAGGGAAGGGCCGCTACGGAGAGGTGTGGCGGGGCTTGTGGCACGGTGAGAGTGTGGCCGTGAAGATCTTCTCCTCGAGGGACGAGCAGTCCTGGTTCCGGGAGACGGAGATCTACAACACGGTGCTGCTGAGACACGACAACATCCTAGGCAAGGGAGACCGTCGGCCCCTGCACCTGCCCACCCTCACCCAGCCCCCAGCCCCCTTCAGCTCCCACCTCCACCCCAGCCCCTGCTTTGCCCTGACCCTACCCATGCCCTGTCCTGGCCCCCCCGACCTTGATCTTGACACCCCTCGACCTTGACCTCCCCCTCAACCTTGACCCCCACACAGGCTTCATTGCCTCGGACATGACCTCCCGCAACTCGAGCACGCAGCTGTGGCTCATCACGCACTACCACGAGCACGGCTCGCTCTACGACTTCCTACAGAGGCAGACGCTGGAGCCCCAGCTGGCCCTGAGGCTGGCGGTGTCCGCGGCCTGCGGCCTGGCGCACCTGCACGTGGAGATCTTCGGCACGCAGGGCAAACCGGCCATCGCCCACCGCGACCTCAAGAGCCGCAATGTGTTGGTTAAGAGCAACTTGCAGTGCTGCATCGCGGACCTGGGTGAGCAGTCGGGGCTGGGGCTGGGGCTCCGGTTCTCATCTTGCTCCATTCCCAGCCTCGGGGCTCTGCTCCGGGAAGTGGGCACAATAGAGCCTCAGATGATAAACTGTGGCGGCTGCTTCCCTGTGTCCAGACCCAGCTCAGGGTGGGCATCCATTTGCCTGCCCGTCGACACGTCACTGTGTCTCTCCCACCCAAATATGGCCTGCAGCCCTGGACCCCTCAACTCCAGGGACCATGTGGGCCCCGTGAGTGACAGGCCTGGTACCTGCAGGTCTGGCTGTGATGCACTCCCAGGGTAGTGATTACCTGGACATCGGCCACAACCCCAGGGTGGGCACCAAGCGGTACATGGCGCCCGAGGTGCTGGAGGAGAAGATACGCACCGACTGCTTCGAGTCCTACAAGTGGACGGACGTCTGGGCCTTTGGCTTGGTGCTGTGGGAGATCGCCCGGCGGACCATTGTCAATGGTGAGGGCCCACCTGGCACAGCGTCAGGGGAGGGTGGCGGGCAGGTGCAGCCGGGGGCGCCCTCCTGGTGTCACCTCAGTGCCGCTCAGACAGTGAGGTCCGGCGGAGCCTGAGTCTGTGATTCCGGCTCTAAAATCCCGGGTGTGTGATAATAACAGAAATATGAATAGCAGGCTAACATTTATGGAGCTTAAATAGCACCAGATGCCTTGCTATAAGTGCTACAGGTATCAGCGTGTCTTACTCCTCCTGTATTGGCAGGGAGGTGGTTACGGCTTCGTGGTTAAGAGCGTGGGCTTGGAAGCACACTGCCTGGGTCCTGAGTGTGCTGTGACGGACGGTGGGCAGGCAACTTAGCCTGTCTGTGTTTCACTTTCCTCACTCGGGAAATGAGACTTAAAAGCAGCTTCTGGTTTTTGAGGTAATCCAAGTACTCAGAGCAGTACTCAGGCAAATATCCATGGTCATTATTGCTGTAACAGGATAAGTGCTGGACATAGTATTATGCCCATTTGATGGATGAGCAGACTGAGGAACACAATTACAGCTGGCTCCAGACAGCAGCAGCGTCTGAGAATAGGCAGTCTGACCCTGGGGCCAGCACTTTTTTTTTTTAAGGTTTATTTATTTATCTGAAAGGCAGAGTTACAGAGAGAGAGAGAATCTTCCCCCTGCTGGTTCACTCCCCAAATGTCTGCAATGACCAGGGCTGGGCCAGGCTGAAGCCAGGAGCCTGGAGCTTCTTCTGGGTCTCCCACGTAGGTGCAGGGGCCCAAGCACTTGAGCCATCCTCCACTGCTTTCCCAGGAGCATTAGCAGGGAGCTGGATTGGAAGTGGAGCAGCCAGGATTTGAACCAGCGCCCATATGGGATGCCGACACTGCAGGTGGCAGCTCTACCCGCTACGCCACAGCACCAGGGGCCAGTGCTCTTCATCACTGCGTCTCTGTGCCTCTCTGGCCCTTTGCTCATCCACAGGAACGCAGGCTGTTACGGTGCCTGCTCCGCCTGCTTCCTGCTGCCTCTTGGTTCCTGTGGGTCGCTGCAGGGCCTCTCGATCTGTCGGGTGTGGGAGCAGGTACAGGACCTGCCCTGGTGAATCCTATGCTCGGTGCCTGCCCGCCTGTGGACTGGACGGGGGACGGGGGTCGTCTGGGGCTGGTGCATCCAAGGTGAAGGCTGTGGGCGGCCTGGCAGACTGGGGACGATCCTAAGGACACAAGAGGAGCCCTGTACTGGCCCACATCTGCCCATGCTGGCCACCAGCCCCTCCTGGAGACCCTGATTCGGGGGCTCAGTTCCTCCGGACTCGGGGCACGACCTGACCAGCGTGGGCTGTGGTCAGCAGGAGGGAGCACCTGCAAGAAGCCAAGCCCCGCCTCCCCTCCCCTCCCCTCCCCCCCAGCAGGCTGCAGGCAGGAGGGGAGGGCTGGGTCGGAGGCTGTGTGCAGGCTCTGGGCTGGCAGGGAAGAGCTGTCAGCAGCGCATTATAAACACTGTAATCTGGTGTCAGCCCCGGCTCTGATTAAAGGCTCATTAGACACGCTCAGGCCTCCGGGCAGCACTGATTAGGGCTGGGGCTGCAAGGGGCCGGCCTGGAAGCCAGCCACGGGGGTGAGCAGCTGGCCAAGGCCCTCCTGTGGTTGTGGCCTGCGTGGCCCCAGGGCCCCCAGCCTCAGGCTGGGAAGCGAGACGGGTTGGGGCATGGGCACCATGGTCAGAAAACTGTCACCGAGGACCGCACACTGGGGGTGACATGGGAAGGGGTGCTGCCGGCTGCGTGGCTCAGCGGAGGGCGTGCCGGCCCTGGGGCTGGGGGATGCTCTTTGGACCTATCAGCATGTGACACGGCTGTTAAGTGGCCACTTGGGACACCCACGTCCCATATTGGGGTGCTTGGGTTTGAGTCCCAGCCCCACTCGCAAACCCAGCCTCCTGCTAGCGTGTGCCTTGAGAGACAGCAGCAGTGACTCAAGTGGTCGGGTCCCTGCCATCCACACAGGAGGCCTGGATGGGCTTCTGGGCTCCTGGCTTCAGCCCAGCCCAGCCCCAGTGGCTGCAGGCATCCAACCAGCGGATAGAAACTCTGACTCTCAAAAAACATTTTTTGTTAATTTTTGTGCTTGATCCAGTCCTCATCCAGCAGTCCACCAGCCGGGAGAGGGGAGCGGTCAGGAGCATGGGCACTGGTGTCGGACTCTGGCTGTGTCTGTTACCCCTGTTCATCTTAGGTTGCTCAACTGCCTCGGTCTTACTTTTTTGGTGTGTCAGATGGAGCTGATAGTGTGATATTGACCGTGCGAGGATTTAACGGAGAGCACCCAGGACAGGGCCAGGCACCCAGGAAGCGCTCAGTAAACAACACCAGGTGCTATTAGGATCAGGCACTTGTGGTGGTCCAGGTCTGCAGGCAGGGCCTGGGGCCTGTGTAGCTGTGGAAAGACTGGAGGGGCCGGTGTTGGGGCCCAGTGGCTTAAGCTGGCCACCTCTCACGCCAGCATCTTGTACGGGCAATGAATGGTTCAAGTCCCGGCTGCTCCACTTCTGATGCAGCTCCCTACTACTATACCTGGTTTTTTTTTTTTTTTTTTGGACAGGCAGAGTGGACAGTGAGAGAGAGAGACAGAGAGAGAAAGGTCTTCCTTTTGCCGTTGGATCACCCTCCAATGGCCGCCGCTGCAGCCGGCGCACCGCGCTGATCCGATGGCAGGAGCCAGGATCCAGGTGCTTTTTTTCCTGGTCTCCCATGGGGTGCAGGGCCCAAGCACCTGGGCCATCCTCCACTGCACTCCCGGGCCACAGCAGAGGGCTGGCCTGGAAGAGGGGCAACCGGGACAGAATCCGGCGCCCCAACCGGGACTAGAACCCGGTGTGCCGGCGCCGCAAGGTGGAGGATTAGCCTATTGAGCCACGGCGCCGGCTCCTACTACTATACCTGGGAAAGCAGCGGAGGATGGCCTAAGCAATTGGGCTCCTGCTGCCTACATGGCAGCCTTGGATGGAGTTCCAGTCCTGGCCGTTGTGGCCATTTGGGGAGTGAACCAGTAGATGGAAGAGTCTCTCTCTCTCTCTCTCTTAAAGATTTATTTATTTGAAAGGCAGAGTTACAGAGAGGCAGAAAGAGAGGTCTTCCATCCACTGGTTCACTCCCTAGATGGCCACAACGGCTGGAGCTGCACTGATCCAGAACCAGGAGCCAGGAGCTTCTTCTGGTACAGGGGCCCAAGGACTTGGGCCATCTTCCACTGCTTTCCCAGGCCTTAGCAGAGAGCTGGATCAGAAGTGGAACAGCCAGGTCTCGAGCTGGTGCCCATATGGGATCCCAGCACTGCAGGCAGTGGCTTTACCCGCTACACCATAGCCCCAGCCTGTCTCCCTCCCCCCTCCCCTCCCTCCCCTCCTCCTCTGGCTCTGTACCTCTGCCTTTCAAATACATATTTTTCTTTTTTTAAAGACCAGACCAAGATCTGGCCTAGGAAGCTGATGAGAGTCTTTTGACTTTGCCGCCACTCCATTGTGTACCCTAGGGCTCAGTATCAGTTTCTTCACCTGTGAAATGGGGGTCACGGCAGTTGCCACCTCGTTGGGCTGCTGTGAGGACTAAGGATAACGACGGGAAGGCACCTGCGATGCCTGGCATACGGGAAGTGCAAAATGAACAGCAGGATGTATATCAGTTAATACACCTGTTATGGTCTCCGCACGGGGTGGACGGTGGGTGAAGCAGCCCATTGGGCCTCCTTGGGGTCCCGAGTGATGGCCCTGCCCACCCTCCGCCCCACAGGCATCGTGGAGGACTACCGGCCGCCGTTCTACGACGTGGTGCCCAATGACCCCAGCTTCGAGGACATGAAGAAGGTGGTGTGTGTGGACCAGCAGACTCCCACCATCCCCAACCGCCTGGCTGCAGACCCGGTGAGGCCTCTGCTGGGGTCGGGAGGGCAAGGGCTGGTGTGTGGGGGGGGTCCAGGTCCCAGGGACTTTGCGTCTGAGGTCTGCGTTCCCCTTGGATGTCTCCTGCGTGTCTCAGATGGAGAGGGAGCACCTCCCCGGAGGCACCGCCCCCTCCCCCGGCCCTCGGGTTACCCTGAGATTTCCAGAAACTCAGAGGCTCTTGGCCCCATCTCCTGCCAGGGAATTTTGGTTGTTGTTTGCTTTTGTTTTTTCTCCAAACATCGCACATGCTTACATGAAGACACACACGCATGTATATAAACACAGACAGGCGTGCATATGCTCCTGAGCCGACACTCAGAGCCACACACAGACAGGCACAGATCCGCCCCCTGCAGTGGGCACCCTCCCGGGGGGGGGGGGACAAAACAGGCGTCTGCTCGCTTGCTCTGTAACCCTGTCACCTCTCACAGTGCCCCATGCACATTTACTGAGAAAATGAATGTATACATGTGTGTCCTTACATGGAACAGGCGTGGGTACGTGTCTGCACAACACACGTCCCCACAAAAAGCCACGTGTGTGCTCCTTTGCACACGCACATGCTCTCAGGCAGCACAGGGGGCGCGGCTGGCATGTCCTAACACCGCTGAGCTTCCTGGGATGGTTCCAGCCCTGGACACAAGCATTTTGGGGCACTGCCTGCCACCCATGCTGCCACCGTTCGCTGGGCCCCGTGTGGCTGGAGGCTTTGGCCCTGCTCTGGGGATCAGGCTGCACATGGGCTGCAGGGCCTGCGCTGCCTACCCCGCGGGTGTTGGCCGAGGTGGGAGGTGGGGTAAGGGGCTCCTTCCACCCTCACCGGGGGAGGGAGGGGTGCTGCTGCAGATCTGAGCCCCTCTCTCTGTCTTCCACGTTTTCTCTCTCTCTCCTCATCCTTACCTGGCTCCCGCTACCCTCCCTGCTCCCACGCCCCCCTCTCCCTGTCCTCTGCCTCCCCCCTGCCCCCAGGTGCTGTCAGGAGTGGTACAGATGATGCGAGAGTGCTGGTACCCCAACCCCTCGGCCCGCCTCACCGCGCTGCGCATCAAGAAAACCCTGCAGAAGCTCAGCAACAGCCTGGAGAAGCCAAAAGCGATCCACTAGACTGGGGGCGGGCGCCCGTCTCCCCTCTGCCTGCAGGCGTGGGGCCGGGAGGCCGTGGATGGTGGCCCAACTGACTGGGTACAGGTGGCGTTGAGAGTGAGAGCCGGGGAGGGGCTCCCCTCTCTGTGGGGCAGCTGCGCTCCGCCCAGCTCGGGCCCCCAGCCCATCCAGCCAAAATTACAGCCGGGCTGAAACCCGATGCCCCGCCGTCTGGCCTGCTCTAAGCAGCCGGCTCCCTGACGCCAGGCTACAAAGACGCCAGGCTCCCTTCCTACCCCCGTGCCAGTGGGGGGTACCCCCTACCCCTCCCAAAGGACCGGAGCCAGGCGGCCAGGCCTGCGCTTGTGGACCCCCTGCCCTTCCCACCCCAGCCACCACAGTGGCACAGGGGCCCTGTCCAGCTATCAGCAGACACGCGCTCCTGCCAGAGCCCAGACTCTGGCACAAGCCCCAGATACCCAGAGCCCGTGCGTTTGTCTCCGTGGGTTTTGAGCTCAGCTCCGGGCTCTCTGTCTCCCAGACAAGACCCTGGCTAGGCGAGAACGCCGGCTCTCCCAGGCAGCCGGGGCCAGTGCCCTACCCCGCCTACTCCCCACCATCCCATCCACGGTGACTTCTTAGGGCATTCAAAACTCCAGGGGTCCTGTTGAGGCAGTGGGAGAGTCCTAGGCCAGTGGACAGGCATGGGTCAGAGGGGGGAGGCCCACAGCACTTGCAGGGGAACCAAGAGGACACCAGGGCCCACTCTGGCGGAGAGGCTGAGCTGGAGTCCGGGGCCCAGGTCTCGTCCTGGCCGCTTGCTCCACTGATTTTCTTTGAAATGTCGGTCTGTGTCTGAGTGGACGGTCATCAGTGTCATGTGCACCTTCGGCCCCAGTTCCTGGCTGTTGGGCCTCAAGACGGGGGAGGGGGGGAGTTTGCAAAGGACTTTATTCCAGAAGTGTCTGCTGTGCCTCCTGGTCTAACTCTGCAAGCTGCAGAACCAGCCCCCACCCTCTTCTCCTTGGTCTTCTGGGCCACAGGGCTAGGGGTGAGGCCTCTGGGACTTCCAAGGCTCAAAAGAAATTTTTTTTTTTTTTGACAGGCAGAGTGGACAGTGAGAGAGAGAGACAGAGAGAAAGGTCTTCCTTTGCCGTTGGTTCACCCTCCAATGGCCGCCGCGGCCGGCGCGCTGCGGCCGGCGCACCGCGCTGATCCGATGGCAGGAGCCAGGAGCCAGGTGCTTTTCCTGGTCTCCCATGGGGTGCAGGGCCCAAGCACCTGGGCCATCCTCCACTGCACTCCCTGGCCACAGCAGAGGGCTGGCCTGGAAGAGGGGCAACCGGGACAGAATCCGGCGCCCTGACCGGGACTAGAACCCGGTGTGCCGGCGCCGCTAGGCGGAGGATTAGCCTAGTGAGCCGCGGCGCCGGCCTCAAAAGAAATTTGACTCCAGCTTTTTTACACCAAGTACCTACTTCCTATGGACCAGGGCCCAGGCCCCAGAGGGTATATGTCTTGGGAGAACTCAGTGGAAAATGGCAAGGCGTTATATCCATGTACTGAGCAGGTGGATGGGCTGGGAGGAGGTGGAGCTTGTGAAAGTGTAAGGGGTGGGGGTGGGGCTCAGGCTGGGGACAAGGGCAGCCCGGGGCTTGGGAACACCTAGCCTGACAGCGAGCAACTCTTGGTAGGGTGGGGGCAAAGACGGCTTCCCCTCTCCCCGCTCCATACACTCAGGCCAGCTTTGCACTTTCCCACGCCTGGCTCCGGGCATTGTGCAAGGCCAGAGGGGAACCAGGAAGTGAGACTGGGCGAAAGCAGGCGGTGGAGTTGGGCTGGCTGCGTTCTCAGAGCACTCCTGCAGGGCCTCCCGCCCCCGGGGGGACCCGCCCAGGCCAGCAATCCGGCTCCCTCCAGAAGGAATTGGGGGCCAAACTCCCCTTGAGACGCCACAGCCAGAGACTGAAGGCAGCAGCTCTCCCAAACCGGAAAATCCCGAAGAGGAGGCGTGAGGCAGGAGGAGGAGTGACAGCGAGGTGGGGAGAAGCAGCAGCGGCTTGGCGCCCGGCCTGCACGAAGGGTGGACATCCCTCCTTACCTGGGGATACCGTATGTGGCAGCATCTACCACGCGCCCAGCACCTAGTAGGTCCTCAATAAACCGTGGTTGAATCCTCAGCTCCTCCCAGGCGTGGGCCTCCGCTGCAGCCCCGGCTCGGGTCCCCTGGGCCGCCCCCGCGCCCCCCCACGGCTCCGCTCCGACCCTGCAGGGAGCAGCCAGCTCGCCCCGGCGCCCTCTGCTGGCCGCCTGCCTGCCTGGCGGGGTCGGCGGGCCTTTCCCGGCAGGGTGGGGACAGACGGCCCCGCCGACCGTGCGTGCGCAGGAGCTGTGCCCCCACGAAAGCCACACCTAGCGAGAGCTGTCTGAGTCGGTGTGCGGGCGGCCGGGGCCGGTCCTCCGCAATTGCTTCCTCCAGTGGAGTCTCCCACCTTGTCCAGAGTCGGTCCCCACCCCCGCAGTGGGAAGATTCCCCCGCCTTGGGCACCCTCCTTGGCGTCTGCTCTCAGAAAGCCCCTTGCCACCCGTCCTCTACCCCGGAGGCTGGGGGCGGGGACATGCCGAGACGTGTGGGTATTGAAAGCCCTGGGAGGAGCCCTTGCACGGGGCCTGCCCAGCCCGGAAATTCTGCGTTTATATTAGATGCGCGCTCCTAGGGGAACCCCGGGAGGGGGCCCCAAGCCCTTTTATCCGGACGCCTGGCCTGCTCGCTGCAGCCTGCCAGTCTGGTGTGGGTCTGCGGCCTCCCACACTGGGTGCTTGGGGTCCTGCACAACCGACACCCCTCCGCCTAGGACCGGGGTTTAGGGATGTTAACAGGGGCGCCCCCTAGCATCCCACAAAGGTAGTCTCCCTCCTGCACCTGCACCTGCACCTGCCAGACACGGGCCCCTCATACTCAGCCTGGTGTCCACGCTGTGGGTGGAGAGTGGGGAGGGGGTGGTGAGAAAACTGCCAAGAGGGGAGGTCCCAGCACACTACGCGGGAGGGGTTAGAGGAATCCTGGGCAGGCCTCCATGTCCTGTGGTACAGCCTCGGAACCTCGTTGCTTTGGAAGACTACCCACTGCACCCTATGCTTTGCTCTGATTCCCTGGGGGACCCTAAGCTCCAATAAGGCTCTAGTCTCCCCGCTTCTACAAGGAAGGGGTCTGGGGGGGTGTTATGCTGGAGAGGGGTGAAGATAACCCAGGGGCAGGAGCCCCTTCCCCCGCCAAGGCCTCTGTAGCCCACCCCCCAACAACCCTGGAGGAAGATGGCTTGCTTTCTCCATATCCACACTGATATTGCAATTGGCCGCCAAAGACATGGCAAAGGCCTCTTGCCCAGATGCCAGGCCCCGGGGTGCACGTCCTGAGCCCAGTCTCCTGGGGCTGGCTGTGCCACCGTCAAGCTGGGTGGGCGACTCTGGGAACACGCTGTTTCCACCGGGGCCACATTGGGTTCGCTAGAAATAGACAGAGGGCTTCTTGACTTTGCATATGATTTGCATAATGTCATAGACACAGTCTATTTTCAGGCAGTTTTCAGGTTCAAGTGTTGTCACTGCTGCCCTGCGGAGTGTCATGTCGGGATGAGCCTCTGTTCTCTGGGCGTCCTCACCCACCCACTCTCACTGACCTACATCCCCAGCGGCAGGAGCGAATGCTGGGGGCAGGGCAGAGTGGGCTTGGCCAGGGAGACCCCAGGCCAGGGGGCGTGAGGCAAGCTGGGAGGTCTGTATGTGCATCATCACCTAAGGCAAGGGCCGCTTGCTCAAGGGTGGCTGAGTTACAGCTGGGAGGGCACCTGCGGCCAGAGCCAGGTAGCCCAACTCCCCTTCGACACAAACCTTTCCCGTGACCGACCAGAAGATCCAGGTCCTGGGCTCTATTCAGCTTCCTGCAACATTGAAGAAAGAGCCACAAACCAGCACCCCTTGGCCATGCAAGGAGCCTCGCCTGGCCGGAATACCCCTCGTGGGCATCACCCTGGCGACACTGGAATGTGAACCCCACCGCCCAGGAAACCTAACCCTCAGTGTGTCCCCTTCCTGGGAGACCTTTCTGAGAGATCAGATGATCAATGGGCATTTTTAAGGCACTGGCTCTTTAACAACAACAACAACAACAACAAAAAAGTGGGCGGGAAGCTGGTATTGTGGTACAGCAGGTTAAGCCACCGCTTGCAACAACTCACAGACAGACATCCCTTATTGGTTGAGTCCTGTCTGCTCCACTTCCGATCCAGGTCCCTGCTAATGTGCCTGGGAAAGCAGCAGAAGATGGCCCAAGTGCTTGGGCCCCTAAATCCACATGAGAAACCTGGATGGAGCTCCTGGCTCCTGGTTTCAGCCTGGCCCAGACCTAACAGTCACAGCGATTTGTGGAGTGAACCAGTGGTTGGATGCTCTCTCTCTCTCTCTCCCTCTCTCTCTCCTTCTCTTTCTCTCTCCCTCTCTGCTGCTCTGCCTTTCATTTTTTGTTTCTTTGCTTGTTTTAAAGATTCATTCATTTATTTGAAAGTCAGAGTTACACAGAGAGAGAAGGAGAGGCAAAGAGAGAGAGAGAGAGAGAGAGAGGTCTTCCATCCGATGGTTCACTTCCCAAATAGCTGCAGTGGCCAGGACTGGGCCAGGCCAAATCAGGAGCCAGGAGCCTCATCTGGGTCTCCCACCCAGGTGCAGGGGCCCAAGGACTTGGGTCATCCTATAATGCTTTCCCAGGAGCATTAGCAGGTAGCTGGATTGGAAGTGGAGCAGCCGGGACTCAAACCAGCACCCATATGGGATGCCAGCACTGCAGGAGATGGTTTAACCCACTGCACCACAATGCAGGTCCCTGCCTGCCTTTCAAATAAAATAACTCCTTTAAAGCATGGGTGCCTAGCAGGAGGCTCATCAGTGCTACAATTCCCTCTTTTCCTTCCTCCAGAAGTTGCGCCCTACACCCAGGTCCTAGGCCTGGGTGCCCAGTGCAAGCAGCGGCCTCAGGACTTGGAGGCAACCACACTAGAAGGGAGGGGCAGGGACTTGCTAATGTCTCTGTGTCCTCAGCAGCTCACCTGGCCTCTTCTTACCTGGTGGGAAATCAGGGGCAAACACAGTTCTCTCTCTCCCTCTTTATTTTAAAGATTGATTGATTGATTTGAAGGCAGAGGCAGAGAGAGGCAGAGGCAGAGAGAGGAGAGAGAGGTCTTCCATCCACTGGTTCACTTCTCAGATGGCCGAAATGGCTGGAGCTGGACCAATTTGAAGCCAGGAGCCAGGAGCTTCTTCTGGGTCTCCCACATGGGTGAGAGGCCCAAGCACTAGGGCCATCTTCCACTGCTTTCCCAGAGCAGAGAGCTGGATGGGAAGAGGAGCAGCCGGGACTTGAACTGGCACCCATATGAGATGTCAGCACTGCAGGCGGTGGCTTTACCTGCTCCACCACAGGACCAGCCTCCACAGTTATCTTAATGTAAGGAAAAAATAAAATTAAAATGCTTAGGAGCTGGCACTGTGGCCCTGCAGGTTAATGCCTGGTAACCCATATTGAGTCCTGGCTGCTTCACTTCCGATCCAGCTCCCTGCTAATGCACCTGGGAAAGCAGCGGAAGATGGCCCAAGTGCTTGGGGCCCTGCAACCGTGTGGGAGACATATATAGAGGTCCAGGCTCCTACCTGGCTGTTGAGGCCATTTGGGGAGCCAACCAGTAGACAGAAGATTGTGTGTGTGTGTGTGTGTGTCCCTCTCTGTAGCTCTCTGCCTATAAAATCAATAAATCTTTAGGAAAAGTTTATTTATTTTTATTTCTAGGGCAAAGTAACAGAACGAGAGAGAAAGGTCGTCCACCTGCTGGTTCACTCCCCAAATGTCCCCAGCAGCCAGGGCGAGGCCAGAGCCGCAACTCCATCCTGGTCTCTCACGTGGGTGGCAGGGACCCCAACCACTTGAGTCATCCCCTGCTGTCTCCCAGGATGCACACGGGCAGGAAGACGGGTGGCAAGTGGAGTTGGGCCTCCAGCCCAAGCCCTCGGAGACGGGCTGTCGGCCTTCCAAGCGGCGACCTTCCTGGCTGTGCCACAATTCCTGCCCCGGGTTCTCTCCATTTTCTACCTGGAGCTGAGCACCTGTTCTTGGTCAGGGGAGGCAGACCTGGGCTCCCACCCAGCACCTGCACCTCACGCAGCCCCTCTGGCCCCAGGGCGGGGGCCTTCCTGTGTCGACGGCACGGGCAAAGAGCCCGGGAGCCTTCCCAGGTCCTGGCTACCAGAAAGCAGTCAGTCAGCCTGCCCAGCAGAAGCACACTACCCAGAATTCCCAGCGGGCGGCCAGTCCCCCTGGACCTGCCTCATCTCCCCTCCCCCACCCCCCAGGCAGGCGTTTCCTGTTGATAAGGAGCACAGTCACAAACACTGATAAAGAGATGAAGAAAGGAAATTGACAGGCTTGGGCATAATGGGCATTTGGTCTGCCTTTTGCTGCTCCCACCCCCACCCCCACCCCCAAGACGGCTTCCCAGAACCAGGGAGAAAACAGGTCCCAACACTGCGCAATTTTGTTTCCAGGAATTTAGCCTGCAGACTTGCCTGGGTCCCCCCCAGGGAGGGCCTTGCTTGACCTGGGTCAAGAGGGGAGCCTGGGGCAGGAAGCACTGGGCGCTGAGAGGCCCCTGAGCCCAGGGACCATGGCCAGTGGCTGCGGAAGGAATGGCAGCCAGGCCCAGGGCGCATCCATGAGCCTTCTCCAGGGTGCGTGCTTCCCAGCAGCGGTGGGTAGGTGGCCAGAGGTTCTGCACTGAGTAGATTTTCCATAATTTCAGGCTCAGGTTCACTCCTGGAAAAACTCATGAATTTTGACTCTACTGATTTGGAATCTGGGTTCCTACAGGGCAAGAAGTTGGACAATGTTCAGAAAGATAAACAACAGGAGCCGTAGCTTGTGGCGTAGCAGGCAATGCCGCCGCTTGTGAAGCCAGCATCCCATGTGGGCGCCGGCTGGAGTCCCGGCTGCTCCACTTCCAACCCAGCTCCCTGCTAATGCGCCTAGGAAGGCAGCAGAAGATGGCCCAAGTACGTGGGTCCCTGCACCCACATAGGAGACCTGGAAAAAGCTCCTGGCTTCAGCCTGGCCCAGCCCTTTTGTAGCCATCTGGGG